GATTATGTTTTGAATTGAGTTTTGAAAAATAAGTGTAGAATTATAACTTAAAAGTTCAAAACAAACAATACACTTAAATCAATAGGTGAAACTATAATTTGAAACGCTAACCAAACAGAGCCCACATTTTTTCCCTCTTTTTCGTTCTTTTTTTATTTTATTTTTTATCTTCCCCTACTTTATTACTTCTCCTCCACTGTGCATTATCTCCTCCCTCTCATCTCCATTCCTTTTCCCTTACTTCCTTCAACAACCCATGGCCATACTGAAACAGGTAATTGATTTGGAATAACTACCCCATGAAAGTAATCAAAGAGTACCAAAGTGCATATCAGTGACTCATCTTCTAAACATACCAGAAGCAGAGGGAGTTTACGAGGTAAATGTATTGGACATCATGAAAACTCTGTAATCTGTATACAAAGAGATCCTTACAACCCACAGAAAGTTGGAGATATCAATGGTTAATTTGAAATCTTTCGGTCAAATTCTTCATTTATTTATTTTTTTATTTTTTTAAAAAAAAAAAAAAAAAAAGCACTTAGGCCATGTAAGATGTTACAGCTAAGTCACCCACCATGGGACCGCCTCACACCCACATATTGTGTACACACCCACTGAAACAGGTAATTGATTTGGAATGAGTTATATTTTGCAAATACAATTACAGTTGGTGCTTTGGTGAGAAATCTCAATAAGGCATATGCCTTGGAAATTTGTATTTGGTGGGGCTAGCTTCGGATGATCGGAGCTCCAATTGGTTCAATGATCGAATGTCTTCGAAATAGGTATGGGGTGGTAGTTTTTGCTACCAGTTTTCAGGAAATTTATACTTACCCTTCATTTGGCATCCTAAAAGGTTTGACTTTTTTACTATTCTAATCTTAAAAAGATAAAATAGACTATAAAATTAATAAGACAAAATGTCACATGCAAACCATAAACATTTTATTTTTTCTCTCACAAAAGTGAAAAAAAGTCAAAAAATTTATCCCAAACATAACTTTTTAATCCCAAATTAAAATAGTCAAAAAATTAAAAAGCCAACCCACATTCGAAATCAACCCTTATTTTCTCTCTCTGCAATCTCTGTCTACTGTGTTGTGTTGTGGACTTTAGGTTGTTTTAAGAGCAAATAAGATGCATGTGTGTGTATATATATATATAACTATATACGTGTGGATGTGTGTGGGTTTTCGTGGTTGGTTAGGATGGGGCAACAAAGACTGCTTCCATTAAAGAAATTTGAGGATTAATGGCGGCTGGTAATGCAATTGGAGGAGGGGGTCTTCAATGGAACGAAGAAGAAAGGAGAGACCAAGAAGAAATGAGTAACCGGGACCAAAAAAAAAAAAAAATGAAGAGAGAGGAAATTAGCTCATAACGGTATTGACAAGAAAATTAGAAAAATAAACAAGGGTAATATAGACTTTTTGTAGAAATTATTAGCGGAGTTGGACATTGCATTTCACTCCATACTACAATAGGAAATGTGTATATTTTTAAATTGGGTCCAGCTTGTCTCAAGTTGAGATCAAGACTGGACTTATCCAGTCCGGCCTATGGGGTCTATTCTTTGGGCCCGTTTTGATAATTTGAACCGTTCAATATGTAAAAATCGTCGAGTACTATATGCCTGTAAAAAATCACGTTGATCGGATATCAATAGCTATGTGATCAAATTAGTTTTGTATAAAAAAAAATGGACGGTGAAAAAATTAACGATTGATAAAAAATTGTTTTGTTCACATAGCTATCGATATCCGATTAACGTGATTTTTTATAGACATATAGTACTCGATGAGTTCTACACATTGAACGGTTCGAATTATCAAAACTGGACCCGTGGTGGGCCCTCACGGACCCAACAGTACGGTCCAGTCCGATCTTGAACTGGACCAAAGCCATTGCCTTTTAAATTATAGGGAGGTAATGTATTTTTGAGTTAAACCACGAGGAGATAAAATAAAATTAATCCTTATTTTTCAATTTTTCAAAATTACTTTTATTTTTTGGGGAAAAAAAAAGTTTCATATTTTTGTTTTTAATTTAAAAAATTTTGAAAATAAAAACATTACCAAATGCCTTAAACCATTATTTTAGAATTTACAAAGTTGGCGCATGTAAGATGTAGAAGAAAGTTCATATTGTGATTAACGCGTCATTTCAAATAGGATTTGGTTAACGAATGTCTAAGAGCATTGGTTAATAATGCCTTCGTTTGTCATGTAGATTAATTTGATTTTTTAATAAATTAGTCAAAAATAATTAAATAAATTAAAAATTAATAAGATAAAATATCTCATTTAGATTATAATCATTTTATTTTTTTTTATAAAAATAAAAAAAATCAACCCAAACAAACCTTTTAATCCTAAATTAAAATAATTAAAAAATCAGAAAAAGTCAACCCACTCTCTAAATAAAACTATTAATATTTAAATTGATTATACATTATAGGCACTCCCATATATATGTCAAGCTTCTTATTAAATACCTAAAGTCACTCATTAAAATAACGAAAATGATTTTTTTCCCGAATTTTGTTCCCCCTAATCTCCTAAATGCCCAAAACGACGTCATTTTGGGCATTCTTTTTTTTTTCTTTTTTCTTTTTCTTCTTCTTCTTCATGCAGGTGCAAGTCTGAGACAAAGGGAGAGGGAGCGGGAGCGGGAGAGGGAGAGAAAGAGAAAGAGAAAGAGGGAGAGGGAGAGAAGAGAGGCCGATCGTCGCAGCACTCCAGTCCAGTCCGATCGGCGACCGATCGTCGCAGCTCGCAACTCGTCGGCCGATCGTCTCCGCCACGCCTCCGCCTCTGCCTACGCCCCCTGCCCAGCCCGGTTGATGTTGGCCCCTCCAGTCCAGTCCTTCTTCTTCTTCTTTTTCTTCTTTCTTCTTCGAATTCGGGGGATTCGGAGGTGGCTTTCGAGCTCCCTAGCACGGCTCATTTAAAAAAAAAAAAAAAAGTATGGTTTGAGTGGCATATTGGTAATTAAAAGAAAAGGAAAGGGTTAATGTTATTTGAGAATAAAGAATGTAGATAACAATTTGAAACGAGTGGCCGTTTTAAAAACGTCAGTACATCATCGAAGTTCAAACCACCTTCCTCCCATCAATGAAACAACAAACAACAACAACGACAACTACCAGATTCAAATCTCTTCTTCTTCTCACTCCTCACCATCACAACAACAGAGAGAGAAAGAGAAAGTTAAAGAGAGAGAAACACATGGCTGGAATGGTAATGTTGTCAAAGACTACTAGTGATGGTGGTGCTAAAGTGGACCAAGAACAACACCACCACCACCAAAACAATCTCTCCATTGCTGCGGTTTTCTTAGCTGCACTGAGAAAATCAATGGTCTATTGCAGAGTAGATCGACAAGAAGAAGTTATCTCGGCCGTTCAACATATGGAAATCGGATGGCCCACGAATGTTCAGCACATTTCTCATGTCACATTCGATCGATTCAATGGGTTTCTGGGTCTTCCTGTTGAGTTCGAAGTCGAGATTCCTTGTAGAGTCCCCAGTGCCAGGTTTTTTATTTTATAGCTTGTTTTGATTTTTTGGTTGTTTTATTTTGAAAATGTTGATCTGGGTTTTTGAAATTTCATGTGATGTTTAGATCTCGTGGGAGGGGAGCTTAGATTTAGCTTATCAAGTTGTTTGTTTCCCGAGAAAATGTTGAAAGAAGGGAATAAGTCAAATGTTTGACTCTTTAATTTTCACTATTTGGGATCTTTACTACACAAAATCTCAAGTATATATATTGTTAGATATTAACACTTGTTTGGTTGATTTTTTTTTAAAAAATACAAAAATAATAATAATAATAATAAAATATCTGGTTAAGTTGAGGTTTTAGAACTTATTTTTGATAAATTAAAAATTAATTTGACAAAAACAAACATAAAAAGTATATTTTTGAATTCTCCAAAGAGTTTTTTTATTTTTATTTTTATTTTTTCACCAAACTAGTTTTTCAATTTTTCTTAGAAATTAACACTGTTTCGTTGTGTTTTTGTTTCCTGTTTTGATTTTCTGAAAAATACGATTTTTTATTTATTTATTAGCTTATCAAGTTGTTTGTCTTCGGAGAAAATGTTCAAAGAAGTGAAATAAGTTAAATATTTGGGTCTTAAATTTTCACTAGTTGGGATCTTTACTGCACAAAACCTCAGCTACTCTTACTCCCAGAAATTAAATTCCTTTTTGCGCAAAAAGACAATCATAAACTACAATCGTCCAAATTTCTAGTTTGAAATTTCTTGCGACGTTTAGATATCAGAGAGAGTTGCTTAGATTTAGCTTATCAAGTTGTTTGTTTCCCGAGAAAATGTTGAAAGAAGGGAATAAGTCAAATGTTTGACTCTTTAATTTTCACTATTTGGGATCTTTACTACACAAAATCTCAAGTATATATATTGTTAGATATTAACACTTGTTTGGTTGATTTTTTTTTAAAAAATACAAAAATAATAATAATAATAATAAAATATCTGGTTAAGTTGAGGTTTTAGAACTTATTTTTGATAAATTAAAAATTAATTTGACAAAAACAAACATAAAAAGTATATTTTTGAATTCTCCAAAGAGTTTTTTTATTTTTATTTTTATTTTTTCACCAAACTAGTTTTTCAATTTTTCTTAGAAATTAACACTGTTTCGTTGTGTTTTTGTTTCCTGTTTTGATTTTCTGAAAAATACGATTTTTTATTTATTTATTAGCTTATCAAGTTGTTTGTCTTCGGAGAAAATGTTCAAAGAAGTGAAATAAGTTAAATATTTGGGTCTTAAATTTTCACTAGTTGGGATCTTTACTGCACAAAACCTCAGCTACTCTTACTCCCAGAAATTAAATTCCTTTTTGCGCAAAAAGACAATCATAAACTACAATCGTCCAAATTTCTAGTTTGAAATTTCTTGCGACGTTTAGATATCAGAGAGAGTTGCTTAGATTTAGCTTATCAAGTTGTTTGTTTGGAAATTACAATGTAGTTATATTTTTAAAAAATAATTACAAATTCATAAAAAAAATTAAAATTAAAATTATTAATATTTGTAACGTTTACTATTTTTTTTATTTATTAAACTTACACTAAATAATAATTTTCCCTAATTTTTTTAGATATGTAATGTTGTTGCAAAAATTATTTACAATGTATTCAACATATATATATATATATATATATTCAATTAAATGTTCAAAATTTAAAATGTATGGATCAAATTCATCTTGAATAATGTGGTTAACACTGTGTCAATTTTAAATGGATAAATTATACTTAGTGCCTTTGTATTTTCACTAAAATCTCATTTTAGTCCATTCACTTTGAATTATAACAGTCTATCCTTTATACTTCAAATCAAGTTCCAATCTCACCATTCTATCTATCTATTGAGATTTTGGTGAAAGTATGAGAACTAAAGAGAAATTTTAATAAAAGTGTAAGGGTATTAACAAGACAACAAAAATATCATATATGCTTCAAATGAAAATTTTCATCAATTTTGTTAACGGTATATGGATAAAAGGATGAGATTGCAACTCGACTTTAATGTAAGGTGTTGATTATTATAATTAAAAGTAAAGTAATTAAAGTGAGATTTTAGTGCAATTGTAGGGATAATAAGTGTAATTTATTCATTTTAAATTAGCAAAATTAGAAAGGCAAATTACACCAATGGTCTTTATATTTTATCCATTATGTCATTTTTGATCCTTACATTTTTAATTGGTTCAAGTTGGACCATTCATTTTAAATTTTGTGTCAATTTAGTCTAATTGATAATATTGTCAATATTTTTAAGAAAAATTATCATTAAATTAGCTAAGATTAGCTCATTGAATTGAGTAAGTTCATAATTTTATCCATAAAAATATGACAGGACACTTATGTGTATATTTTCAATAAAAAAATGTTAAAAATTATAATTAATTGAATCAAATTGAGATAAAACTATAAATTTAACATCAAAATCGAGTCAATTGAAATTATAAAAATTAAAATGATACAAAAATTAAAATATAAGGACTAACATTATAATTTGTCAAGGGATTGTTTGGAATAATCTAAATAAGTGTACTTTTTAATTTTTTTTAAAAATATGTAAAAAATAAAAATAATAATGTGATTTAAAAAAATAAAAATAATAAAAAATATACTTATATAATACAACCCAAACAAATTCTAAAATTAACTTGTTATGATGTGTGAACTTATAAAAAAGGTAACTTGTTATGATGTGTGAACTCATGCTAGCCGCACGCTGTACAGCGTACCTGGATGGTACGAAGTCGTTTGATAATTCGTATGTTCAAATAATTTATAATTCTATGGTTTTTAGAATGTTAAATTATAAATATATCTTTTGATAGAGCTCGTTTGGAAATAAATTTTTTTAGTAACTGTTTGGGTTTTTTTTGGCTAAAATGTGATGTTTGTGATGATTTTTAGTTTTTTATGAAAAGATGTGCAAAAAATAGAGAGAAATTTTTTTTTTGACTTTTTGGTATGAGTTATTGACTTTTTGATTTTTTTAGTGACTTTTTGACTAAAAAAATCACTTGCCAAACGAAGTCTTAAGCCTCGTTTGGGAACAGGCTTTTTTAGTAATTTTTTGACTTTTTGGTTAAAATGTGATGTAAAAAAAATTAGTATGTTTGGAATGATTTTTTGGCTTTTTACGAAAAGATGTGCAAAAAGTAGAGAGAAAAGAGAATCTTTGACTTTTTGGTATGGATTGTTGACTTTTTGACTAATTTAATAACTTTTTGACTTTTTGACTAAAAAATTCGGTTGCCAAACGAGGCCTAAATATATATATGGCAGAGCTAAATATAGAATATTTGACAGTACTTCAATTTATGAAATTAATTAATAATTAAACATGACCTGCTTTAATGAATTCTATGGTTCGATTCAAAGTCTTTTAGGTGTCGTTTGGAAAGTGAGTTGGCATTTTAGTTTTTTGACTTTTTTGACTATTTTAGCTTGGGTTAAAAAACTTAGTTTAGGAAGAACTTTTTGGTTTTGTGACTTTTTGAAAATTTTTTGTGAGAGAAGAATGTAATGATTATGGGTTGGATGTGATGTTTTATTTGTTGTAGCTACAATAAATTATTTTGTCTTTTGTGACTAAAATAGCCAAAAAAAGCTCCTAAACTATCTTCCCAAACGGTGCCTTAATGGAAGGGTTTTGCATGATTTAATAAATAAATTAACTTGTTTAAATTATTTTTTAAAAATTTACTCATTAGACCAAAGAATCACACTAAATTGCCATTGGAATAAATAATGGCTAATCTAATTTGCTTAGGGTTTTTTTAATCTATCAAAGAGGAACAGCAGAAGATCAAGTTGCATATGTAACGGTGAGACTTAAATCTGAGCATCACATCATGTATCAACCACATTTACCATTCACTCAAAGAAAGAGTAATGTTAGAAATTTTAAAAATTTTATCAAAATTTTTATTAAATATGTTACATAAGTGTGAAATCCATACCACGTGAGTCCCATGTGAGTTTCTATGAAATATTTGATAAAAATTTTAATAAAACTTTTAAAATCTCTAACATTTTTGTTAGAGGACAAAAAAGAGTAATACTATACAATTTGAAAAGATAAAGAATTGGGTAAATTACACTAACCTCTTTTGAGGTTGAAGTATTGAAACTACGACATTGTCGTAATTACACGTGATACTTTTAGACTGTATTTAAATTATGAGTTCGGTAAAGATTTGAAAAAAAAAATGAAAAAAATGAAAAAAAGAAAAAGATGAAGAAGATGTGGACAAAATATAAGCTGCTTGTTTTCTCCATTTCCTTTTCCATTTTTAAATATCTATCCAAATCTATGATCCAAATGCAAAGTAAGGTTTTAATTCATATGTTACGTATCTCATTTTTTATGAGTAATTAATTAATTGTATGGATAGAAAAATAATAGTCATCTCTTTTATACTGAAATATATATTTTACATTATTTATTTTTATATTATTTGCATTAATTTTGATTACATTAGTCTTATTAAAAGAAAGTTCAGTATAGTTATATTAACATGTAAGTTTTATTGTACTTTTTAACCTCAAGGATAGTCAATGTAATTCACGCTAAAGAATGTGTACAAAATATGTTGAACTGAAGTTACGAAGACGGTTTTCTAAAATAATGTTATTCTATCATTCTGAATGTATTTTTGTATAAAACATTATGTAAGAATAGACTTTTTTTTCTTTTTTCTTTTTTAAGAAAGAAAAGAGGGAAAAAATGCATGGTTAAAGATTTGAATAATTCACGGAAGAGTAATTGAGGTAGCGTTTAATTTACTTTTAGAATTATGATTTGAGTGTGAAGTTATATTTTGAGTTTGTGAGTTTTTGAATTATGATTTGAAAAGAAAAAATTTGTTTAGTTATGAGTTTTAAAAAGAGTTTTGAATTGAAATTTGAATTGAGTTTTGAATTTGTGAAATGAGTTTTAAAATGAGAAAAGTTGTTTGATTTTGAGTTTTGAAAACAAAAATTCAATATTTAATTCAAAAACTTATAACTCACAACTTAGGTAAGTATCTGGGGTCCCCTCTTTTACATACAAGGATTACTAAGAGCTTATTTAATGACATTCTTGAGAAATTGAA